CTAAGGAGCCAGAGGCTTATATGAGCCATGTGTATGAACATTAGAAGCACTTAGGATTGTGGCAAAGCTTACAATGAAGAGGGACAATGAGTCAAAGGCCAAGATGTCTGTGCCCTAGAGTTATGGACCAGTAAGGAGGAGCTGATACAGCCAAATACCCTAAGTGTCAAAGGAAAAAGACTGAGTAGTAATTCATTTAGAAGTGGCAATAAGAAGTAAACACAAGACCCCACTCTAAACACTAAAGAACTAAAGTAACTGAAAAAATAAGAATTCTTCATTTTAAGAATGCTACTAGGGAATCAGTACATTTGGGAAAGAGGTTTCAGTTTCAATCAGAAAATGTAGAAAAAGAGGTCAATGTGTGAGTTTGTTAAGATCTGAGAAAATTCCATATAGCATAATGGAAAGTATAGGGGAAAAGGGAGGACTGAGAGAACAGAGGAGTGAAAAATCAGGCCACGTGGAAAGAGAGCACATTATTATGTTTGACATACAGGTCCCCAACTTAGGATGATTCTGATTACAATTTTTCAAATTTATGATGGGGTGAAAGTGATATATGTTCAGTAGAAATCATACTGAGAATTTTGAATTTTGATCTTTTCCTGGGCTAGCAATATGTGGTACAATACTCTCTCATGATGCTGGGCAGCAGCAGTGAGCCACAATTCCAGTCAGCCACATGATCACGAGGGTAAACCACCAATACTCTGTAGTGTATTCATTGTGTTTGGTAATTTTGTCCAACTGAAGGCTAATGAAGTGTTCTAAGCACCTTTAAGGTAGGCTAAACTAAGCTATGATGTTAGGTAGGTTAGGTGTACTAAATGCATTTTTAATTTATGGTATTTTCAACTGACGAGTTTAACAGAACATAACTCCATCATAAATTGAGTATTCTATAGAGGAAGTAGATCAGTGTTTCTGCACCACCAGTCCCCTGAGTTATGGATAAGACATAATCCTATAATTATGACAATGTCAGGAATTGAAGGACAGACAGGACAGGGAACCGACACCCAAGAAGTCATAGAATGGAAAGAGGAACTTTTATATCTGCAATATTAAAAACTATCTGGGATAAGTGCACCAAACCTTTTTTATTACATCAAGGCATAGAAAGAAAATGACAGTTTTAAGGTATGCTGGAGTAAGGGTTGTCTTACACAAAGAATCTCTCTCTACCACCCATCCCCATAACTAGCTCTAGGGGTCTAGAGGTCCCAAACTCCAAATGGCCTGATTAACTTAACTTTTCATGACAAAATGGTATGCCACAGCTCATGTGTTGGGAAATTCTGCACTACATGAGTCATACTAGAAACCCCCAAGAATGCCCTGCATTTCTCTCTCTTCATTAAGAATTACCAATGTGTGGCAAGAAAATCTCAGATATTCCACGCAGCAACATTTTTACAGATATGTCCCCTAGAGCAAGGAATATAAAGGAAAGAATAAACAAATGGGATCTTATCAAAATAAAAAGCTTCTGCATGGCTAAAGAAAACAGTATTAAATTAAAAAGACAACCAACTGTACGGGAAAACATATTTGCCAATGATACCTCAGACAAAGGTTTAGTCTCCAAAATATACAAAGAACTTACACGACTCCACTCTAGGAAGACATCTAACCCAATTAAAAAATGGGAAAAGGACTTGAACAGACACTTCTCCAAAGAGGACATACAGAATATCCAGAGACACATGAAGAGATGCTCAATATCATTAGCTATCAGAGAGATGCAAATTAAAACCACAATGAGATACCACTTTACACCAGTCAGGATGGCTATCATAAACAAAGCAACAAACAACAAATGTTGGAGAGGTTGTGGGGAAAAGGGGATCTTAGTTCACTGTTGGTGGGATTACAGACTGGTACAACCATTATGGAAAACAGTATGGAATTTTTCTCAGAAAAATAAAAATCGACCTGCCTTTTGACCCAGCAATTCCACTGCTAGGATTATATCCCAAGAATCCTAAAATATCAATTTCAAAGAACCTATGCACCACAATGTTCATAGCAGCACAATTTACAATAGCCAAGAGTTGGAAGCAACCTAGGTGCCCATCAGTAAATGAATGGATCAAAAAACTGTGGTACATATACACAATGGAATTCTATGCAGCAGAGAGAAAGAAGGAGCTACTACCCTTTGCAGCAACATGGATGGAACTGGAAGGCATTATGCTGAGTGAAATAGGCAAGGCATTGAAGGACAAATACCATATGATCTCACCTTTGACAGGAAGCTAAACAATAAAACAAACAAGCAAACAGAATAAAAACAAAGACACTGAAATAGAGAACAAGTAGGCAGTGACCAGAGGGGAGAGGGAAGGGAATTTAAGGGGAAAAATGGGGAGGGATTTTGAGGAACAAGTATGAAAGACACCTGAGGACTGGGGGGGGGTGGAATGGGAGGGAAGTGGGGAGATGGGGCGGGGGTGGGGCTGGGATGGGAGAAATAGACAAAAAATGTACTTGAAAAATAATTAAATAAAAATTAAAAAAAAAAAGAATTACCAATGTGGATGATCCACAAATCACTAGTCCTTCAAAATACACTGTGTAGAAGAGATTTGCGGTCTTATGTTTTGGGAAATGGCTACATATTCTATCTTTTACCACCTTGTGCAAAATCATAATACTATATACATTAAAGGCACTGTGTAGTGTACTGAAAACCTCATTTAACTTTGTTTAATTTGTTCATTCCCACACTCATCTGATCAGAGATATCTACACCTACTGACATCCAGGAAAATAATTTTTGGAAAATGTGGCTTAACTTTTCTGACAGATAAACTAATCAGCCTCAACTTGATCATTCCCAGGGACAGATATTACCACCTCTGGATAATCTGTTCTATTTGTACAGTCTGATTAATAGCCTCTCACTTTAAGCTGAAATTTGCTACCCTTTATCTTAAAATGCACAGTTTTGCTATCTACAGTTAGAAATCACACCTATTCATTCCTCAAATCCAGTTCTAAATGTAGACTAGTTCTCTGAAAATACCACACTATTTCATAAATGGTTTTGCACATGTTATTTTTTCATCTAAATGCTCATTCTTCTCCTACAGAAACCACTCCTCTGCAAACTCTAGTTTTACTTATCGGTCCAATAGTAACTTCCTTTATACGCCACTATCCCAGACAACAACCAGTTGCAGCTTGCTTCTCCAGTCCTGTAGACATCACTCTATTGAAGCACATACCTTCACTGCCCTACACTAATACTGCATTATAGCTATCAACAATGTGTCACCCCCACAGACTCAACACCCTGTCAGCAGGAAGTATCTACTACTCATCTTTTTATGGAATGGAAGAGGCACATAAATCTTCTACCTAACCAATAATTGCAATGATTCCAACTGAGCCCACACACTGTGTAATTCTTTTACCATCTGCAAATCAATGCTTCAAGAAGCTATTACCATTCCACAGCTCTCACACAATATACAAATTTATCCCAGCTTGAGAATTGAGTAGAGTTCAACATATAAGTTCTCAATGAATATTTGTGAAATGGTTGAAGAAATTTTATCTGAAGTATAAGCAATGGTTCACACTTTAGTTAGACTTCTAAATTTTCATAATCGAGCCTTAAATTTACCTTCCAACCATCAAAGATAAGGGAAGTAAAATCTTCAAATGAAGACTATCTTTACATCAAATTCATGTGTGATAATACCAACTCTCTGACATCCACTACTTAACAAAAGCCCAGATGTGAGAAACAGAACAGCCAAAATAATGCCTGAGAGAATATGTACTGCATATGTTCTTTCAAATCTAAATTTTATCCTTGCACCAAATTATACCAATAGAAGGATCTTTAGTTGGACAACATTATTTCATGACACACTGTAGAACCACCTTTTCTCACTTGGACTAAAGGTCTTTGCAGCTTACTGAAGAACGTAAGTAAGAAATGAACTTAAGGAATTTATCATTATTTCTACTTTGGGAAGCTGTCTGAGACCTGACCACTATATCACAAGGCATTTTCTTTATAAGAATGCATACAAAGCAATCTTTTTTTATGATTCTGTCTCATAAAAGCCAATCTTTTCAGGAGAAATGTACCCTTTATATATTCTGTAATTCTCATATTGGATCAAGTTTTGTTCTTTGCTTTTGCTGCAATGAATGTTACAGCCAAAATTTTTTTCTTACTTCAAGAACTAGATGAGGCCATATGTGTCAGTTCTACTACTTCTTTTCCCAATTTTATTACCTATATTGTAAATTAGCTCCAAAATAACCTCAAGTCCCCAGAAGAACATGAGGAGAGTGAAAAGGAATAAGAAATTAACAGCTACTACTGGGTGCCTTCTATAAGCCAGACAGGCACCCGATCCTCAAACAGTGAGGAAAAGCTATTATAAGCTATAGTCTACAAATGATAAACTGAAGTACAGAGAGTTTAAGTAAGTCACTTAAACTCACAAAGCTAATATGCGCCAGGCCAGGGTTGGACCCCAGCCCTGAGTGACTACAGAGCCACACTGTACATAGGACTAATCAAATTAAAGACTACTATGCTATGCTTCGAAAGGAATAGAATTCTAGCACTGCACAGTACCTTCTTTTGTTTTCTTTTGATGGTACTTAAGAAATTTTTAAACTTCAATTTATATATGCCAAAGAATCACTTGGCATTAATTCTACGTTATTCAAAAAACAACAAACTTCAACAAAGTCAACATTTAATGATTCCCAAATGAGAACTAGAAAATCACACCAAAACTTAAAGTCCAAATAGCAGACATAAATAAAATATTTATATTTATGATAAAGTTAAAAAAAAAGTTTGAGCCAGAAGAAAAATTAGACATGCTATTCTAAATAGTACCACATTTAACCTGCAATATTTTGATGCCCACTAAAAACCAGGCCTAAAAAAAAAAGATTTTCGGGGGAGGGGTTAAGGGAAATTATGACCCAAAATTAATCAGAAGATAGAAAATTAGATTCACCTGCTTAAGTCACTTTTTCCATGGTGATGATAGCGGTCAGGATGGCTGAGGTGGTAATGTTCCTGTCCACTCCACCTTTGGGGCGGCCTTTTCCAAAATCCTTCCTGAGACTGCCGGACACTTCTGTCTGATCGATCAAAGCGATTCATATTGTCACGCTCCACTAGGCAGATTCAAAAGCAAAACAGTATAAATATGTACACACTCTATAAAAACTACTTATAGTTTGACCATTAAATGCTGCTGAAATTATAAAACATTCTAGAAAATATCAATCATTTATGTTAGCTAATCACAAAACCAAGATTTCCAGAAGAAAAATAACCAGTTCTTTGGTAAAAACTAAAGTTTATATCATTTGAACTGAAGAAAATTATTAAGCGTTCCTCATATCACAGTCACTTAAAATAATAATTAATGGTACCAGTTTTAAAACAAGCAAATTATACTTGAAGTCAACATTATACATTTTAAATACCAGTAATCAGTTTTAAGTGGTCTTCATCATTATCACTAGTTGGTTCTGACTTCAAAATGAAAATAAGATTTTAAATCTAGTAGAGAATTCATTCCTAAAAATGAATGTCACAATTTATTTTCCCTGATTTCAAGAAGTACAAATTAGCTTTTCATCACAAACAAATCATATTTTTTAATTAAGCTTACAGTTTTAGAAAGACGCTTCGATCTGCCTGCAGTAAAGCTTGTTCAGTAAGTTTAAAATGCCACTGAAAACAAAGCCAGTACTTTGCAGCAACAAATAGTACACTCCCTGAAATCCAAATGCCACAAAAACACGAAAAGAATCTCTCTGAAATACCCCAAGCTTCTCCTTCACTTACCCAAACACTTTTTCCTCACATATCTGAGCACTCACTAAGAGAATTACTTTGTACAAGGGAGACATTGTGTTGCCTGCTGCCTACTCGGACATAGCTGCACACAAGGCACTGACAAACAGGCCTTCCTTCCTGCTTGATTCCCAGCCCTCCCTGTGGGAAGCCAGCCCAGTTTACCCTGTGACTCCATCTTCGCCCAATGCTTACATAGCTACTGAGTTAGGACTGTTACTAAAAATACAACTCAACACTAATCTAAGCTAGGAACAGGAAAGGATTCTGTAGTTTGAGAATTATTACACAAGAAAGTTCAAATCCTGCATGTTCAGAATTCTTTGTGATAAAAGAGCTTTAAATATCAATGTAATCCCTTATTTAAAAAGAAAACCTCACTATTTAAGTGATTATTTTCACTTAATCTAAAACTTAAATTTGAAATGCGGAGTTTCATTACAGTATACCAGATGAAAAAGAAACTTTCACACTTCAAAGAAAAAATCATGCACTTAAAGTATAGATGTTCATTCTCATGTACACTGAACTCACTGCAACATATTTCTTATAAATGCATTATTCAAATAAAGTTTAAGAAGATAATGAAATTTTGTTTAAGCTCATTAGAGGAATCAATTTGGGGAAAACAACTGTATGTTTTACAGTTTTTAAAAAGACTTTTTAAGGAAAAAATTTCAAAGGAGGCCTACATTGGAAATTATTTCAAACACTCTATTGTTGAGATAAATTAAAATATATTGTTTTAATTTAATTATAGAAAACCAGCTTGATAGATAAATAAAAGCATTGTGACCATGATGACCCCCCAAAAAAATCATTAGTAGAAAATTGCAAAAAAAAAAAACTAAAAATAACCCTATGAAGGCTTAAAACTGTGTTTAGTTTACATCTGTATCATAGTCATAGACTCAGTTAAGTTCCTTAAATATTTCTACATGGCATTAAAATGTTAACGTTAGTTTCAGCAATTCTATACAGCTGAGGGATATCTATACCTCCTTTTAAATGTTCTGAGTTCATGTTTTTTTCATTTCAGGCAAATAAAATTCAACTCACTCCCCACACAAGAAATTCTATAACATCTGATATGTAATTAGCACATCATCAACACAGTGCACAGAGTAACAAGAACAAACAAAGCAGGCAAACAGGTCAGAAGATAAGATTAAATACTGTGGGAAATTACAGTGCAAAAATGGATGTGAAGCTTTTCTGTTTACTAAAGGTTGTTGGTACTATACCCAGCCTTTAAATTAAAGTACCTTTACTAAAATATGAATTCAAACCTGGGCATAATGACAAATAAGTACTAGAAACAAACATCTGTCATGACCAAAAAAGATGACTGGTAGAAATTGAGAAAGAGGGGCTTACTTCTCAGAGATATGACTGCTCCAAGATTCTGTAGGAAGAGTCCTACTATACTTCTACCTGAGGCTCCCACCAGTCACGTGTTTATATACTTTAACATGTTACTAAGAAGATAATGTGAAGCAACATCAGTGGTAGTTTCTGAGAAAAGGTTGAGTTCTTGAACAGTTAAAGAAATAATATAGAAAGAAAATTAAAGCAAATAAAATTACAAAATGGAGATAAATCAAAACTAGTTTCCACAGCCAATAAAGAAATGAGACAAAGAAGACTATGAAAGGAAATAAGTACTTCTGAATGTGTGATATCATAGGAAATGATGGGGCAAACCTAAAAGCATCCTGGTTTGAAAAAGTTTTAACCCAATATGCTGATCAAAACTTGTTGGGAATGACCCTGCCTGGTTTCAGGAGCTGTAACCGCCCCACCCCCCCATGGTTAAGGTTGAGTAAGCAACCTTCAGACCATAAGCCACTGAGGAGACAAAGTTTATCTCCCTAACAGGAGTGCCACTTCTGCTCCATTTTTTAGTAACTGGACCCCAATGCTTGATCAAATTAGCCAATGACAGGCAAGATGCTCCAAGGGCGGAATGACCTAAGACAAGCATGATCATGTGGAGGTCCCAGGGAAGGACTTGGGGGCTATGGAGAAAGTGGTGGATGAGCCCTCAGTCTTTGGCTTTGACGAAACCTGAGTCCTCATTCTGTCTGTGAGAAGTCTCCTAATTCCTTGTCTATCTGCCTCCGCTGCCTGACTTGAGCCTGAAACAATGACAGAGGGTAGTACAGACCAGTACTGGAAAGGATAGGCTCCTTGGGTGATATGGCCTGAGAAAGGATATGTAAAATCCTGTGAAGCCTGCTTTGCGAAGCATGCTCTTAACTAAATAATAAAGGTCTGAGCAGGAAATGAGTTTGTTTCCCAAAGTTTTGTAGCCCTTTAGCTAACAGACCCTGACACAGAAGAAGCCCTAATAGTTCTTTGAATGCTATCTATTATTTGACCCTTACTGCCTGACAATGGTTAATGAACTTTACCTGTATTCCTGTGCAAATTGAAACCAAATAAAAGCCTGTCCGGGAAAGGGTTGGCGCACTTTCCCCTTCAGAGAGTGGCCAGGCCACTCTGAGGCACTCCCCCCTTGAGGGAGTAGCTGTGCCGTCCCTTTTCCTCCACAGGACTCGGTAGTCCATGTGAATATGTCTAGAATCTCATCCGTGACCTCACGGGCACTGAGAGTTGGTGCACACGTCAAAAATTATCTATACACAGCAGACTCAGCCCCACCTATGAGCTTATGACTGGTGAATAAAAGCCTTTTGAAGGAGATTTCCAGCTCCAAATGTAAAAGGCAACACATTTTAGTATGTAGGGTTTTCTTTTTACTATAAGTAGGAGACAGAGAGATAATACCAGGACTTATAAGTTCTGAGGAGGTAAGGAAAATCTAACCCAGCTAACTGACAGGTATGGCATGTGGGGACGCCTATGTCTAACACCAGTCATATCCATTTCTTCTAATTTGATAAAGGAACAAAACATGAGCCCAAAAGTTACTGAGGTTATTTTTCTGGTAGTTTGTCCTAAGAAGGTAATGGAAGACACAGATAGTAAAATTTCCATATGTTGACTAACAATTGAAGATAGTGGGAAAAATTATACATCACAAAGCCTGAAAAAAATGTGCTTTGCAGGATGTTTTAAAATTTGATCAAGAAAGGTTTTAACTGAAATTTATTTGGCTTGAAAGAGGAAAAGCCTATGAAAAAGGAAAAAGAAAACAAAACCAAACCATGAACCTTGCTATTACTAAATATAATCAGTACTCAAAAATATAAATTTCTAAAAGAAAGTACAGTAATTGGAAAGTGGTCATGGACAATACTACTAACCTCATAGGACTATACCTCAATAACAAGTTTAGCAAAAATGTGGCCTGAGGAAATATAACACAAATAAGTGTGACTTAATTGGCAGCATAACTTGGTGGGGTGGAATTCAGGAGGTAGACATCTTTTACAACTCAGAAAAGTTTAAAACCAGAGTGAGTAGAGGAAACAGCACATATAAAAGAATGGATACATGACAGAAATTTCATAAATCTGAATATTATACTGTGAATGTGCCAAATGCTAGGCTTTAATCCAGAGGCAATGAATGACTATCAGAAGTTCCTGGGCAACAGAGTAATACAATACAACTATGCTTTTGATATAATTCTGAAGCCTGAAAAAATAAATAAGACACCTACTAAGAAATGCTCCTTGTGCCTAATTGAATTCAAATTTAAAAAAACAGAACCTAGCAACCATTTGTACACAGGGGTCTCTCACACAAACTATAATTGGCAAAGAAGCCTGGGCTGAACTGCCTGCCTCTGTGCTGAACTGACTGGCTCTGCTTTAAACTGCCTACCTGCACTGGGTTTCCACCATCTGAGACTGCGCATATAAAGAGGTTCCTAGAATCATATTTCAACCAATAAGACTGAGGCTTTCCCCACCCAATCAGAGCTGTAAAGATCTGCGCAATTAGAGCAGCTCTAGTCTGACCAATCAGGACAGTTCCTTTGGGACCAATCAAACTGAAGATTTAGTCCTAATTTGCATGAGGATGGACCAATCAAGAACCGAGGGTGGGAACTCCAGCCATTCAAGCCAGCCTATTCTGGCTTCAGGAGCATTCTTTTCCTTTCCACCAAAGACTGAAGACTGTCTCCCTGGCTGAGCTGAAAAACTGAAGATGTCTCATCAGAGCAGGGCAGAACAGCCCATCAAGGAGCAAAGCTGTATAGCAAGAGAGAGGCCTGGCCCCAGCAAAGATGTTCTATTAGTTCTATCACAAATGAGTTGTTCCACAGCCATGCTGTTTTTACAGCCACGCTGAATCAGTTGAGCTGTTTGCACTGAATAAAGTTTCCTGCTTCATCACACCAAAAATTGAGGATTCCCACTGGCATTGAACTGACACCAGCCACCACCAGTTGACATACAAAACTGTTCAGTTAAGGAGACATTTTAGAACAAATCTCAAATACCTAATGGTCTGCCAAAATACATTCAGATTCCAAAATTGTTTCCTTAAGAGATTCCTTGATCATGCTAAAAGAAAAATATAAAAATTAAAACAATTTATCTTTTACATCCTCCTGAATTGTAACTCAACCCAAAAGCCCTTTCCCCTATCATTCCTCTTCCCTCATTCTATGCTCCTCGATTTCTCCTTGCAATCTCTCCCTCTGACTTGTTCATTTTCCCCCAAAACTGGCCAGAAACCTAAAAACCTATTAAAGTTAAACCTCCTTCAGAAGAGTGGTTAAAACCCCTTATGGTTTTTTTTTTAAGATCTGGTGTCTCATTCTGAGCTGAGAGCCATGGCTACATACTTTCAAAGGTCTAAACAAGATTGTCTGCAGAGTAATTTGCAGAGTAATTTAGAACAGTGTTAGGAATTGATAATCCAGAGCCCCCCCAGACCTATACCATTAAGCTCATACATTAGAGGAAACTCCAGAAGCAAAAAAAAAAAACAGGATGTAAAGAATACAGTGTGAAGAACTTGAAGATAATTTAGGAACCCATGACATTGTATAGAGAAGAAAAAAGTTTTTCTCTATGCTCCTAAGGTCTGAAAATTAAACTGACAATACAGATTAACAGGGGAAAAACATACAAATGTATTTTTTTAAATATTTTATTACTTTATTTTTAGAGAGAGGGGAAGGAAAGGAGAAAGGGAGAGAAACATCGGTGTGTGGCCGCCTCTCACATGGGCCCCACTGGGAACCTGGCTTACAGGCCAGGCATGTGCCCTGACTGGGAATCGAACTGCGACCCTTTGTTTCACAGCCTGCGCTCAATCCACTGAGATACACCAGCCGGGGCAAAACATACAAATATATTTAACATAATACATGACATGGAGCCTTTGTAAGAAAATAAAGATCCAAAGAAACCATTAGACCTGTGTATTTTTTTCTTTTTTTAAATTTAATTATTTTTCAACTACAGTATTCTGTCTTACACCTGTGTATTCTTATGCTATGTTTGATGAATACTGGACAGTCATGAAAGAATATGACTAGTTAAGAAGTATTAGGTAATTGTAGAAAACGGGAATATTTAGCAAGGCCTATTGTTTAGGTTTATCCTTGGTGTCCTTTTGTCTTCTTCAAGAAAAGGATGTATAGGAAAGGCAACTCTCACATGAAGATTTTATAACCAATTTCAAGAAAGAAGGGCAAAGGGGGGAAGAGGTCAAACTGACTTTCCCCTCCTTCTATCTTCTTAAATTCTTTCAACTTAAAATATTCAATATGACAAGCTGCCATATTTCAGGATAGGGTGCCCTGAACTCAACTGCACACACGCAAAAAAGAAGTTAGAAAAGGCCTTTCAGAGGCTGTCAACAAAGCATTTTCTGTGAACATAGACTGGGCTCTGATTCAGCTCTGTAAGTAAAGATAAAACCACTGCAGTCTTCAAGGATAGACTAACACTCTTAGATAACACTCAGGAGTGGATTCTGAAAGAGATGTGACCCTATCTTTCTCCTCACTTTTCTGTGAAAACTTTTAAGGCAGAGATACTGTAAACAGTTCATTGCCAAACTTCCAGTTCTTGAAAAGAACCTTAGAAAAAAAAAGCAGACTAAGACTCAGAATACAGTCCTTCATATATAGCAACTCGATACCTCCACCACACTCAGTTAAATACTGGAGGAAATAATCCATTAGCACATTTACAGATACTATAAATAGCAAGATATTCAAAAAATAAATATCCTGCCCCAGCTGGTTCGGCTCAGTGGATTGAGTGCTGATCTGCCAACCAAAGAAAGGGTCAGTGCTTCAATTCCCAGTCAGGGCACAAGCCTATGTTGCAGGCCAGGTCTCCAGTAGGGGGCACTTGAGAGGCAACCACACATTGATGTTTCCTTCCTTCCTTCTCCCTCCCATCTCCTCTCCAAAATAAAATAAATAAATAAAACCTTTAAAATATATATATTTTCCAAAAGTGTCCTATATTGCATTAAGACATAAAATAGAAAAAGTAAAGTGGGTGATGAATCAAACTGTTTTGAGAAAGAAACTAAACTAAGTACCCAATTCTCTAAATATTTAAGGACAACCTTGAAATGTTTTACTGATACAGATACTACAATATAAACCTACTACTTCTATATAACCTCCCCCTGTGTCACCAAACCACTCAGATGTGAATAAGTCTAATAACTCACAAACAGTTCTCAAATCCTAGTCCAAGAAACACTCAACCAACATTCATGCCTCCTCTGTGCTATCACATATACTGGCTTAGTAGGTAATGATTAACTATACATATGCAATTGCCAGATAAATATTCTTATAGCTGCTACCCTGAAATCATGGAAGAGTCACCTATTCATAATGAAGCCATGGCAAACTTTTATCCAAACTGAAGATTTCAATGAGGTACTAGTGTTCTTGTTGGCAAAAATTCTACCCACATTTGTAGAACTATTGAGTTGAATCCATCAAGGTTCAGAGTGACCCACCCAAAAACTTGACTCAAATTTGCCCAATAGCCTCAAAAACCAGATTCTAAAGAGAACTCCAAACAATAGTCAAAAGTATATTACAGGTCTCCTTAAACTCTGTTTGGTCCTCATAACATTCCTATCCCTTCAATCAAAAACACTCCATGGGTGGGTGTAGTGTTATTCAGGATCTCAGAGCTATAAAGACACTAGTCATTCCCTAATTACTGGCAACACCAATCTTAAATACTACTTTATCTCTGGTGCCTCTAAAGGCAACATATTTAAAATTCATGTTCTGCTTTATTCAGTATTTATTAGCTCAAAATAGTCAATATTTACTTGCCTTCTAGGAAAATCTGTAACATATGTGAGATGTGCCTCAGGGATTCCCTCAAATTTTTCATAAGTCCTAACCAAAACCTCAAAAACTTTAAAAAGTTCCCTGTGATTCTACTTTTATCTGATATGTGGATAGCTTTTGGTTGTGCTCTAAAGATGAGACAGCCTCTAAGACCCACTCCATCTCTACTTCCTGTTTTAGCTCAGAAAGGGGTAAGGTTTCCAATGAGAAGTAGTTATACTTCTGTCAAAGTAAAATGCACTATGTAGGATGTGACTTATACCAATTAGGTAATTCCCTTGCTCCTCACAACCAGTCCTTAAAACTTCACATTAAACATCCTGAATCATGAATTCTCATTATTTCCCCCTATAATTTTCAATGCTTTATGTTTTTCCCCTGTGTTCTACAATATTTTTCTACTCGATGTTCTCATCCACTAACTCAGTAGCAGCTATTTTGTCATCTTCTGAACCATTCTGTGGGAAAACCTTCTTCTACAGCTCCACAAAATATTGTGTTGCAACTGCCTCTCCCTAGTGATCTCATTTTCATCTCCTTGAGTCACTCTAATTCTGGGAGTTCTGTTGTTTTCCTTGTTCTCCATCTTGGGTATTAACCGATTTTTTCTTTCTCAGTTGACTGGAACTCAGTTTTGGTTGCTGGAGTATCCCAAGTGACAGCAGAACCATAAGAAGGTACAAGTCTCTACCCCAGGGGTAAAGTAGATACTGTTTTCAGCTTGCCACTCCCTCCTTTAACAGAATTATACATTTAATGTCCTCTGTTGCAGAACTTCTCCCTATGAATAGTGTATACCTCCCAGTACCACTGGTGTAGAATTAACAGCGTGCTAGTTCAAAGTGAAGACTTTAAGAGATGATATATGTATGTTTCTGCTCACCCTGTTGTCCTTCTGCCAATCTGCCATGAGAAACCTGCTCCAAATTTTCCTGCTCATTCAAAATGAAAAACAAGTAGACCTGAACTCAGTCCCATAGCCTTAGCCATCCCAGCTAATCCACAGATCTATGAATGAGAAAAGTAAATGTCTATTTTGAAAGTCACTGAGATTTTGAGATCGATTGTTACAGAGCATCCTGGCAGCACACACATACACAAAACATATAAAAATAAGCCAGATCAATGTGAAAAATGTGAGCAGCTACAGGCTCCTATTACCTCGATAGTGCACTAAAACCAAACAGCTACCCTATCTGAAATACTGTTGCATTTTAGCATCATGTATAAAAAGAACTTCACCAGGCTTTTTTAGTTCATCGCTGGTCCCTGGGAGGCCAGAGAGACTAGGCAAATGTTAGACTAACAGTGAATCCATAGATCTCCTGAGCCATTCCTCTTGCCAAGAGGATCCTCATCTCAACCTCTGTCCTAGGGGCTTTCCTAGTCTGGTTTCTCATTCTTGACCAGTTGTTAAGATAGAAAATCCTACAAATGCTGTCAATAGGGGTAAGAGCACCCAGGCCCCCTTGCGTATGGATTATCTAACGCCCCACTCCAGCAGTTACTGGGGTCCACAGAGGAAGACAGACTAACTAACAGAATTTTGGAATAAAAAGGGTAGAATGATTTATTCAGAAGGTCACAATTCCCAGATTGATCTTTTTAAAATATCCATCAACTTAATAATTTTAGCTGATATTTCACAAGTCAAATGTATTTCTTGTTAGAACCAAAATGAAAAAAGGAAGAAAAATTGTGTATGTATATAGGGAAAAAATAGGCCAAATCCTATCTACTACTTATTTTATGGTATAGGTATACAATATTACTGGATCATGCAGATAATGTCTAAGACCTACAAAATTAGGTTTTAAACATTTACATAAATTTGCAATGAACCTATTTAACATCACTTAAGCTTGATTTTCAGTCTGAACAGTCTTCCTCCACAAAGATTAGGAAGTCTGTAACAAATATCAAATTGGCTTATAGTCAAGAAGCTCAACTATATGCCTCTAAAGGTTCAATACTGTCCCCACTTACCATTTTCAAGAGGTGCATCCTCAGGCAGATCCACATCCAGCATAAGGTCATCTTCCTCAAGGTCACATGATTCAAGATTATTCAGAATATCCTGTGAACAAAAGCAGTAAAAATGCTATATGACCTAGCTCAAGGATGTGTGTAATCATTAGTTCTAAATAGAAACAGGACTATGTGATAATCTGAATTTACTCAATGTCTGTGTTGTAAAAACAGATCTTATTGATTAAATTTCTTAAATAAAACAGTAGACTCAACTGGTTTACCTGTTTAAGCTATTTGTAACACTCTTCTCTAAGGTATTCCTCCCCACCAGTAGATTTTAATTTTTATTTTGAAAAGCTTACAAACTTTAAGACGTTGTTCTAAGTACTTTATAAATATTCATTTATTTTTCAACATAATCCTATGATTTCATGACTAGTACAATTCTTATATTATATATGATGACTTTAATGCACAGAGACCCTAAATAATCTGGCCAAAACAGGATATAAACATAGGATAACATAAGTAATCAAAGATAATAAAATATCTCCTAAAATTTACTCATTTTTGGTATAGGAGGTTTTGCTTCATTATCTCTAAGGACTCAATAATTTATGTAAAAATAACAAAATAATCCTTTAATAATGTGATTATTCCATCCTTTCTTGTGCCAAACCTACCTACCTAACCTTAGTATGGTACCAACAGTAATTCCTTGGTTTGCTTCAATTCATTTGGAGTAGTCAAATTGCTATTGGCAATTTAGCAGCCCGTCCTGTGTTCTATTTGCAATCTTGCTAGCAATCATCTATCCCTAAAAAGGTAATGTTTTACCCTGGCTGGATGGCTCAGTTAGTTGGAGTGTTGTACTATACACGAACAGGTTGTGGATTCAATCTCTGGTCAGGGTAGACAGGGGAGGCAAATAATCAATGTTTCTCTCACATCGATTTCTTTCACTTCCCTTCCCTTTCTTCCCTCACTCCCTCCCTCCCTCTCTCTCTAAATCAATAAACATATCCTGGGATGGACCAAAAAAATGTTCTGCTTTCAAATACTCTTTTTCTAAAATCTAAATAAATAAAGAATAAAATATAGTCCACTAGTGGATCCTTCTCATCCAAGAACTGATTCGATATTCAAGATCTTTCCTGTGTGTGTGTGTGTGTGTGTGTGTACGTGTGTGTACACACACACTTACATACATGTAAGACAATAAGAAGATCACAAATCCAGAAATTTTTAAGTGACTTAGAGATTATGGCCTTGAAAAACTTATGGAAGAAGAATATCACCTTTATTACAGGTGATATGAATAAATTAGATTGTTCCGTAAGTCAGGTATTCCATCCAAATCTTTTCAATGTTATGTTGCTAGACCTACCTTTCAGGATCCACTGAGAAATAAAATAATTATAAAAAAGCTCTGTATAATTTTTTAAGAGAAAGGTTTCTTTTAAAAAAAAGGATTTTATTTATATATTTTTAGACAGAAGGGAAGGGAGGGAGAAAGAGAGGGAGAGAAACAGTGTGTGGTTGCCTCTCATGCACCCCCCACTGAGGATTTGGCCTGCAACCCAGGCATATCCCCTGAATGGGAACTGAACCGACGACCCTTTGGTTGGCAGGCCAGTGCTCAATCCACTGAGCTACACCAACCAGGGCTACCTGACAATTCTTAAGAATTAGGGGACTATACATTATAACTTATATTTAGTGCACACCTACTTGATTCCGGCTATTGCAGTAAGCATTTCTATTATTTCATTTGGTCCTCATGAATGGAGTATACATATGATGGGATGTTACTCAGTTTTAAAAAGGAAAAGACTACCAACGCAAGCTACAATATGGATAAACCTCAAAAACTTCTTGAAAACCAAAAGAGATCAGACACAAAAGGTCACATATTTGCATGATTCCATTTTTATATAAATGTATAAACCCATATAGGCAGAAAACAAATTGGTACTTTCCAAAGGTTGGAGAGGGGTAAAAGCAGAGTGACTACTTAATGAGTATGAGATTTACTGCGGAGTGACGAAAATGTTTTAGAACCAGACAGCGATAGTGGTTGCACAACATTGCAAATGTACTAAAATGCCACTGAAATGCTCACTTTAAAATGGTTACTTTTACATGAATTTTGCCCCCCCAAAAAGCTTTAAAAAAAATAAAAATTACTGCTCAAATATCTTAGAAATTACTTGTACATTTAACCTTTGATCCAAAATCACAATTCTACACATATATCACCCATATACAAAAAAAAAAACAAGGCTATTAAAGTGTTATTTATAATAGCAAAAACACAATGTACATGTTTAGAAGCTGAGAGAGGTAAATACACACACACACAGCAGGGCAAAAAAGTAGACTTATAGTTGTGAATACATGAAACACAGAGTTTATTCTTGTATTATTTCCCATACAACTATAAACCTACTTTTGGCCAATCCTGCATGTGATTGCTTTTTGAAAAAAATAAAGTAAAAAATAAAATTTGAAAAAATCTATATCCATACCCTTTCCCATACTTATCCTCCACAATATGCTATTCTAATGAAAAATAAATGTAATTGGGATGCTTGGGTTGCTTCCAATCTTCTACTATAACAAATAATACTTAAATGAATCCCTAAAAATAAAAATAAAATGATTTATACATATCCAACTATATATCAAGTTCATAGAATAACCATTCAGAGAGAAATTTTTTCAAGTAGGAAAGAGAAATTTTAAATCCTCAAGTTGTTTTTAGTAATTATATTGCTGGTGGTGGAATTCTGTTACCTTCACAGGACACCAATCTCACCAAACCCTGCATTCCTAACAGCAGCCTCTACTAAGACTGCAAGTGGTTTTGGTTTCACAACACTAGGTATTGCATGGGAGCCTTTTCAATTAAACATTTAGGTTAAGGAGATCAACCAATTCACATAAAGCCTGTTCAAACGCTCCAGTTTTCATCTGAACTTAATCCCATCAACTAATGCATTTCTATATTGTCTCAGTCTAAGAGTAGCCCCCATTAGGACACCAAAAAGTTTTGATACTAAAGCACATGGGGTTCCTATGTCAAGGTCCAGAAAAGTCTTTTCTATACCCAGTGACCACTTTACTCACTCATATACATAAAGCTTTAGGTCCCCAGAGGGGTAAGGGGTAAGAGGTAAGAGACAAAGGGCCCTGGACTTTGTCAATCTTCATCTTCGCTAATCTTCTGAACCACTGTCCCAGGTGATTCTAGATCCTCTTCTTTCCCATTTTCATTTTTCTTTTCAGCTTCTTCAATTCCTCCAAACTGTTGTAAATAGAGTTGTTAGGGCCCTTTAATGTTGTGGACCCAGAATTGGCACCCATTAGCACACTCAGTCTTCAATAGTGTTCATTAACACCTTTGCTTCAACCTCATCAATACCCAATATAGTCACCCCATTTCTTAATAAATATTGATCCCTAAAGAGATGAATCCCTTGGCTCTCCCCTTCTATCTTTTCCGTTTTCTTATTAATGGCTCTAGTTTTTATTTTCAGTATCTTTAATACCTATAAGGGAAACTGAGACAGCAAATCTGATGAGGTTTCTTGGACAGTAACCTAGTTTTACAGCAGCATGGTTACATGGGGGGACTATGGAAAAGGCCCCCACTTAACCAGGCCAGTTATCATGACCTTGTCAAGGGACCTACTGAGTAGATGTGTAATGCTAGTTCAGATGGCTTGCTATAAAATGTACAGCCACTTCATCTAGGGTGCTCCAAATTGCAATTATAGGAGAAAGAAGTCCCACTTCCCAGGTAAACAAACTGCACGACAGCTTTATACAGTCTACCAGGCTACCTACTCCCTTGGGAATAACCTACTGTATAACGCCATCTGTGATTGTTCTCTAATGAGCTGTGGGCCCTGTATCAACCCAAACATTCTCTTCCACTCTGTAGCATTCAAAACAAAAAATACTGCCCCTAAATTAATCCCTGTCACAATCCATTTTAGTAAAGGTTCTTCAGGAAATTGATAACACTAATGCACAAAATGAGACAACTTCTTGGCACCATAGCCCCTGGTTTCAGTAGTTTATTGGTTTTGCTCTCTGCCCAAATGGACTATGTTCAGGGTAACCAGAGGTCACAACACTACTGTCTGTTATCTTAGAATAATCTCTCCCACTGGGGGTAGCTTTAAGATTATTAGCTGTAGCTCAAACTGACTGAAATCTAAACTTGGCACAGCCTCAGCACCAGCATTCTCTATTACTTTCATTTTAGTTATTACAGGTAGTAATAAACAGAGTATTGTCTATTTAGTTTGTTTCTTATCATTCTGCATTTCCTTAAGTATCTAGTGGGCCATCTTATTAGGAGTTGGATCTACCACCATTTCTAAATTCCATTCCACAAGTTCTGCCTTTAGTAATGAATCACAACACAGCTGCAGCTTCAAATCAAAAGTGACTATAAAGCCATCCAAGAATCAAAAAATTCCTCACCCCTTCCCTGTCCTTTCATCCCTTCTCTTCCAAAATAACATATTTCAATGAGTTGGAGTTGTCTACCAAATTCTACTTTTTTATACACTACCATCCAGAATTAAGACAAATATCACAGGTGAAAGGCACAGTCTTCTGCAAGACTGACCTTAATTCAGACACCACCAGCCAAAGCTCAGGGGTTCCCTGGCCCTGCACTTGAGATCAACTGGCTACAAAGCTGGAGGTTTCCACTATTACCTCGGGTTCAGTAATTCACTAGAACAACTCACACAACTCGGGAAAACAACATACATTATGATTACAGTTTTAGTATAGGGGAAAAAAGGTACAAATCATAACCAGCAAAAAGAAGAGACACATAGGGCAAGGTCTGAGATGGTCCCTCCCAAATGTGAAGCATCCACATTCTCTCTCCCTGTCAAGTCAAAACAGGTCATCTCCTTAGCACATTGATAAGAGTACTAACCAGGAATGCCAACCAGGTATGCAGAGTCCATAATCTATATAAAAGTTTCATTACATAGGCATGCTTGACTGAATCAGTGGCCTCGTGATATAGCCTACTTCCTCTGCTCCCCAGGAGTCAGATTAATATCACGTAACTCAACA